AGTTTTGTGTTAATTTACACCACCCGCCTGTCTATGCAAGTCTTACATCTGTTTGCGTCCCTGGCCTCCAGCGCAGTGCCGTATGCTTAGTAACTGGTCAGAGGCTGTTTGGGGGTGATGGTGTTGAAGAGGCATGTTTGTTGTTGGGGGACAGGGATTCTAAAACTCAGCGCTGACATTCCTGTCTCATTGCAGGATTACCTGCTGGCTGGGGCTGATATCATTGAAACAAACACTTTTAGCAGCACTAACGTTGCCCAAGCTGACTATGGCCTGGAGCACTTGGTAAGACGCCCATTTTCCTCCATAACTAAGATGTTCGTGAGCGTTTATCACATCGCTAGTTGCTAGTGAGACACCCACCTGAAGCGAATGCCTGCTTACCTGTAGTTTGTGCTCAGATGGAAATGGTTTGATTCTCGTCTGCTTCTGAACAGAAGTAAATTCCAAGAGCACCTTGCGGCACTTGCTGCACTCCCCCCGCCCCCAACCCGCAGCCCATATCCCTTAGCTACCTTGGACTGCAGGGTTGGACTGTAAAGTCAAGCTTACATACAACCATAGCCTTTTGGCTATCATTGTGCTGGGAGGGCTTTGCCCTCCACGCTGGGACTTGTATGTGGCTTTGCCATAAGCCAGTCCGAGGCTCGATCCTGTCCGAACGCTGTAGCCGCTCTCCACACTATTCTTTTTTCTAAATCTCAGAACCTGTTGAGCAACACCAGCTTATTCCCTGCCCTGCCAGAGGTCCAGAGGTTGTCCTGTTGCCACCTCACTCGCGGTTTTGGGGAAGAACCAAAAGCAGTTTCCAAAGATTCTGGCCTTCCCTGTGCCTTCCAGGCTGGGGTCGCTGATTGGACCTTCTTGGCCAGGATTTCATTCAGACCTCAAATGAACTCACTCTCCATTTCCTTCCCGAGTGACACTGGGTTTTAGAAGGTCTTGAGTTCCTTGCTCAGCACGTGGAGAGAAAGGAGGACGGGCTAACGTTTGCAGTTCTGTGCTAGGTCTACCGGATGAACAAGTGCTCTGCGGCCGTGGCCAGGAAAGCGGCCGAGGACGTCACCCTCCAGACAGGTGAGGAGCGGAAGTGTCCCCCTTTCCACAAAGATGATCCCTTGGATCGTTTCAGCTGTAATACGGCGATAGAAAAGGATTACTTACCGAAACACTTCGAAGCCAGGCATGTGAGAACTCAGAGGTTTTGGGATTGGCCTGGTGATCATGCGTGTAGCCACCCCAAATTTCATCATTTTTCCAGTGGGATCCAGGACAGCCCATCACCAAATTGTGCAGTAAAATCTATGAACCATCCCTCTGAGTGGGAGGACGATTATCAATAAGCCTCTTGATCATTCAGAAGAGGGCGAGTTTTGTTGTCCAATGAATTAAGAGAAAATCCTTTTTGGATTTCAGAGTATTGGACAAAGGATTGTAGCCCAGTATCCTAGGGAAATCTTAAACCTTATTGATTTACAACAAAAACCTGGAGCAATTCAGAGATTTCACACTTGTTTTTCTTTCCCAAAGGAATTAAGAGGTTTGTGGCAGGAGCGCTGGGCCCAACTAATAAGACGCTCTCTGTGTCCCCATCCGTGGAAAGACCAGATTTCAGGAACATCAGTGAGTATTCATCACATACAATCATTGCTCTCGAGCAGGTACTGCTGTGTTTTGGTAAAATGGGGCCAGTAGTACATCTCTCTCAGGGTTATTGAGACTTAATCCGCACGAAGGGCTTAGAGCACTCCCTGGGATATAGTATATGTCTCAAAAGTCGAGTTTTGTTGTCCAATGAATTAAGAGAAAAGTTTGAGCTTTTCTGCTTTTTGGATTTCAGAGTATTGGACAAAGGATTGTAGCCCAGTATCCTAGGGAAATCTTAAACCTTATTGATTTACAACAAAAACCTGGAGCAATTCAGAGATTTCACACTTGTTTTTCTTTCCCAAAGGAATTAAGAGGTTTGTGGCAGGAGCGCTGGGCCCAACTAATAAGACGCTCTCTGTGTCCCCATCCGTGGAAAGACCAGATTTCAGGAACATCAGTGAGTATTCGTCACATACAGTCATTGCTCTCGAGCAGGTACTGCTGTGTTGTGGTAAAACGGGACCAGTAGTACATCTCTCTCAGGATTATTGAGACTTAATCCGCACGAAGTGCTTACAGCACTCCCTGGGATATAGTATATGTCTCAAAAGAAAGTTATCGGTTGTGTGTGTGTGTTGTTGTGGGTTTTTTAAAAAAAAATTTCACTTGTTTTCGAATGTACCTGGTGTTGTGTTTTTTATCAGCTATGGAAATAAGACCAAACTAAAGCTTTAAAATGACAAGTTGAGAAATTATGGGCACCCAGCCTTGGTCAATGAGAGAATAACCCACTAGACCTCCATTTTACTTTTCAAATGTACCTGGTGTTATTTATCAGCTATGGAAATATGACCAAACTAAAGCTTTAAAATGACAGGTTGAGAAATTATGGGCACCCAGCCTTGGTCAATGAGAGCATACCCCACTAGAGCCCCGTTTTATTTATCACCAAGCAGTCCAAACTGTATAAGCATATCAGCATTATAAAATGACAAACTATCACATATATAAGCACACTTGCATTGAGATTTTACCAAAAAATCTTAGAAATCTAGGTGAATTTCTTAAGCATCAGACTACTAAACACAAATAATTGAACTTCCAGAGCTGGATAGTCATGATATATGAACGGCGATGGGTTATGTGTGATGACAAGTTCAGGCAAGTGTGGTTTGTAGGGTTTCGGTCACAGGACTTGCCATGCCGTGCTTCCACACGTCACCTACTTGCATTGAGATTTTACAAAAAAAACTTAGAAATCTAGGTGAATTTCTTAAGCATGAGATTACTAAAAACAAACAATTGAACTTCCAGAGCTGGATAGTCATGATACTATGAACGGCGATGGGTTATGTGTAGATGACAAGTTCAGGCAAGTGTGGTTTGTAGGGTTTCGGCCACAGGACTTGCCATGCCGTGCTTCCACACGTGGTCACCAGGGTGGCTCCCCCTGATGATCGGGGTCTCGGCGTGGCAGTGAGGAGCTCCCCCTTCCTTCCTCTCGTGCTGCGGAAGGTGAAGGACACGGACACTCGCTGTTCAGGCCTCTCTGCTGAGTGGCCAAGTGTCTTCTCTCTCGGTTGGGCAGTGAAATGGGGAGAGGCATGGCCTCTCAGATGGGAATAGAGAGCTCAAGGTGTTTCTGACAAAAATGTTCCCTACGCGTGATTGGACACTTTTGTTTGAGATGGAAATTGCCTGTCAGGCAGCCGTTTTCTCTGACAGAGCAGGTGTCAGAGGGCAGGAGTCAAATCCACAGAACTGCAGCCTTTGATTCTCCCGCAGAGAGTGAGAGGCTGTGACTTGCCCTGTGTGACTCCTCATGCTCATCCCTGTGAATTGATCAAAGCCATCCCTGGAAAGAAGGACCTGCCCTAGGGCTCTCTAAAGTATAGTAGGTCCAGGGCTCAGGAAATCCTGGCTTCCCGCGCGCTCGCTCTTTCTCGGCTCACACGTGGTGGGACGTGTAGACCTCGCGCCGGTGTTTAGGAGCAACTGTGTTCAGTTTACTGGTTTAACGTCTATCACCGTCGTATTTCTGCATTTGGTTTCTTACAAAAGGTGTCACTGTCCTTAAACGATGCGTCACAAACCAGCAGTGTTTAGTTCACAGGTGCTGGGCCCGAACTCGGCATGTCTGGGCCACTCAGGGGATATTGACTGATGTCCTGGGTGTGGTTTATTTTTTGCAGCTTTTGATGAGCTCGTTGAGGCGTACAAAGAGCAGGCCCAAGGGCTCCTAGACGGTGGGGTCGATATCTTACTCGTTGAAACTATTTTTGATACTGCCAATGCCAAGGTGAGTTAAGGGAGGAAAGGGGACAGGGTGTGAGGGGCGGTGAGGGAGGGGCTGTGATGAATCCCTAACGTAGTGAGGAGACAATGATAGGTATTTTTTAAAAATATATATATTTTTATTGATTTCAGAGACGAAGCTAGAGGGAGAGAGATAGAAACATCCATGATGAGAGAGAATCATTGATTGGCTGCCTCCTGTAAGTCCCACTGAGGATCGAACCCGCAACCCAAGCATGTGCCCTTGACTGGAACTGAACCTGGGACCCTTCAATCCACAGGCCAACACTCTATCCGCTAAGCAAGCCAGCTAGGGCAATGATAGCTATTTTTAAAGTTAAATGAAATTCCTTTGTTCCGTTTTATTCTTGACTGTTTCTGAGGCCAGTAGAATGAAAAAAACTTCAAAAGGTTATCTTTTAAACTTTTTTTTTTGGTAAATTTATTTTAAATTATGAAAGTAAATATTTTCATATATAGCTAGTCTATGTGCATTTATGCATAGGTGATAAGTACACATACATGGTTCTAAATTCAAAAGACTCATAAAAATATGTAGTAAAAAATAATACCCTTCTACCTCCTATTTCCTGGGGACAACTGCTTGTCACCAGTGTGGAGTCCTGACAGGCATCAGCATGGGGGTGCGCGTTTGTATTCCTGCCATGTGTGCAAAGGTACATAGGTATCTGGAGTGAAAAGTAAATGTCCTTATGCCTGTGTTTCTTACTTATCGGTTTGCTTATTTAATTTTTCAATTACAGTTGACATACGTTACAATATTAGTTTCAGCTGTACAATATAGTGAGTAGATACTTATGTAACTTACAAAGTGATCCCCTCAGTAAGTCTAGTGCCCACCCGACACCGTACACAGTTATTAAAATATTACTGACTG